TAAAAAATCAAATATCTAAGTGAATCTGTGATGAGTATTCCATTCTTATAGCATTCTGACCTTTTATGCCATTGGTCCGGTAAATCGGTTGCACAGGATAGTTTCATTCGATTGTTTTCCTGGTTTTCATTTTTATTTCTGGATCGTTAGCGCATAGCTAGATGTGAAAAATACAATATGACGTGCTTACATCGTCGTTGGTGTGATCTCCGCCTTTAGGTCATTTAAACATTGTCCATCCTACCTTCTGGCGCTGGTCATTTCATAGCCGACTGGTTTGTGAACGAAAAAGAAGCAGCTCAGTTTTCAAACAATTTTACTGCAATTTTCTTAACCTGGAATACTCTATGATTCGTGATGTGGCCGATTACTTGACATTATATCTGGTAGTTATATAAGTGCTATCCCTGGTTCTTTCGAAACTTGTAAAATTATGGTCCAGCATTACCTGGATGACAAAATCAACAACCGCCCTCTCTACTACTTCACCTTTGCTGTAAAAATCACTCGTCGTTTTCGTATCTGCTATTTGCATGAGCGTACGATTGTACCATTCTCGGATGTTTTGTTACGAGCGAAGACAAACGTACAAAACGAAAGAAAACACAACTTTGTCTCGCCGGCAGACTACCTCTGCCGATTGGATGGGCGGCTCTGCTAGTTCACGGTGTGATCAGTGTGAACGTAGTAGAAGTGTGTTGTGATGGAGTGTATTTTTGTAATGTTTGCTTGCTCTCTTGCTGTTGCTCCACGAAAAGCGAACGCGCTTGTTGGGGTGCCGGCTGGCTCAGGCTGGCACCGCGCCATAGAAAACCGCTGTCGGTGCCCGTGAATCAGGCACGCATCGTCCGAAAAGCTGTTCTTTCCTCTCATCGTACCAGAGCTACTCAAACTGTGCAGGAACTATATGTTCTTCCTTGAATTAGAGAGTTCGCGCTCATTCCGTTTTCTTGCTCGCATTCGACATTGAACGTCATCCTGAAGAACCTTACGATTACTGTAGTTCTAGCTCCTTTTCAATCATCTGGACTTTTAAAATCGCATTCTCATCTTTTACTTAAGTTTTAAATCCCGTACGTTTTTCATTAGTTATTTGGCATCTTTTTCATGAACTATATCTCTTATATTAGAAGAGCTTAATGCCTCCTCCTCTAGTGGTTTTTCTTTACACAAGCCTTCACCACGTGTACAGTGCGGATCTTAGCAATTCTTGCATTTGGTTCGTTTCCCTCGCATTCGTCGTCAACGGTACTCTTCGAACATTTCGCCCGTTGTTGCGACTACTGTTTGAGGATTTCATCTTCATTATGGATGCCGCGGAATGCTGATCGAGTCGATTCTAGTTGCAACCGTGCAGATAGCCGAACTAAGGCGTTCTCTCGTGGTGTGGAGGAGAGTAAGGTAGTTGAACTAGCGCCTTTGATTCCTGATCGATGGCATCACTAACCACTACGTTGCCTCTTCTAATAATGTTCACCATAACTACGGGATTTGGTAAAATGGCGTGTTTGCGGGTTTGACATTTTGGAAAAACATTGCGCAAAACACTCCAAAATTGTGGAAAACCTCTCCCCAAGCTTCCTTTATCATTTATTGTTTCTCTTCTCCTTTTTTTTCAAACTCATTAAAATTCTGTTCGTGTTCGTCGTTCTCTCTGCGCGCCAGCGCATTTTCGATTCTGGAGATCTTTGTGCTCCATGTGGTTACTCTTTGGTGCCAGTCGGTGTTTGTTTGTTTTTCAGTTGCAGCAAACGGCCAAGCGCTGGCAGTTTTTTGCTGCACATCGGCACCGGCCAGCACTCGGAGTCGATGCAGCGTGTGATTCACTGAGCGGCGAGTATGTGAAACTGAGCCAGAGAGCACGGTGTGGATCGACTCCGAGACAACGCTACTACGAAATGCTTTTCATACAACGCACTCTACTATAAACACACAGCTCATACTGACCACAGGTCAAGACGGCCAGAACAGAATATCACTGTAACTGATGCTGACATGGCGCTAGTCGTCGGCCACCACGTGCAGCCCACCTGGGCCGGAGCACCGTCCATAATGTCTGTTGCCGACTGACATTATTTTCAACGCTGTCCAACACTCTTGATCGGTTCCAAAGCAATGCAATGGTCCTGCTACAACTGGCTACGACTGCTAACGTGCTCTGCTTCTAGTTGTTGTTGTTGTTGTTGTTGTTGTTGGTGGTGGTGTTGCTGTTGTTGTTCAGACGGCGGCGTTTCTGTATACGGTGTGGTGCGTATGCGTGTCAGCACCTAAATAGCATAATCCGGGAAGATAAACCGTCGTAAACGCCTATAACCACAGGTCAAATGACCGTACGACGAACCCAACTTCCTACTGCGTCCGTGGAATGATAAATACAATCCTACGATTCCTCTGTTATAAATAGTTTAGTTAGGATTCCATTACCGCCTATCTAAGTGAACTCAAAAGAGCGGGATTAGATTGCAAACGGGGTCTATCAGCCATAAATTTTCTTTATAAATCCATATTATTCTTATATCCACTGAAGTAAAAGACTGAAGTTTTATGGAAGACAAGCTCAGGCGTACGTTTATTTACCTGTTCCTTGACGTTTTTACCTCATGATCGATATTTTGCATCAATTGTTGCCTTACAGCGTTCCTTCGGAAAACTTCCCTGCTTAACAACTGTAAAACTCCTTTAATGCTGTAGAACACGCCAATATACTGGCTGTTTTACATTAAACATGGTATAGTGTCAACTTTTTTCATTTACTGCCTATTACTATTTTTCACGACAGGGTAATGTATGTAATACAATCACAATGGTGCTGAGATATTTGCAAAACTTCGGACCGCAGGTGTCTGCCGTAGAGAATGAACGCGGTTTTACCGTTTTCTAGGGCTAACGCGTTCACCACCACACCATACTGGTCGCCACACCAAAACATGGTATAATTCCATGCTTTATTTTCATCGTATTTGAAAAAGAACTTCCTTATGAGGTTGTTTTTTTTGCAAATTTCGGCCTTCCTAATTCAGTGATTTCCTGGAATTATTTCCCTTAGATTGAAAAAACACATTCAAATACCTTCGTCTTCACGAAATGTCCAATTCTCATCCGATCATTCCTTGAGAGTTCTGTAGAAATCATCCCTAGACCTCGTTAATACAATGGCCCGTTAGTAGCTTCTGAATCATTAACTTTTCTTTTAAAATTATGTACGTCATAAGACAACATGCGGTGCCCAAGTCTCGCTTTTTTTTGGGTAATACACTATAGTGAGTGAACAACATGGATGGTTGGTTGGTGTGGGTAAGATGTAAATCTGAGCAAAACTCAGAAGCTCAGTTGCGCTTCGATTCCGTGATTACCCTTTCCAGGGGTGTACGTGTAACCTACTGCACCACCGATGCTGTTGCTTTTTTCTCTTTTAGCCAGTTTTTGCTGACATCACTGTTTTTGCTGTTTTTGCTGACGGGTAAGTGCTGATACAACAGTTAGGGTAAAAAACTGGCTGTGAGAAAGGCAAAGCACGGGCTTCGGTGGTGCAGAGGGTAACACTTAAGTTTCCGGGAAACGTAGTCGCGTGTTGGAAGCTCGTCGGAGGTTCCCCGTTTAGCCATGTCAAAGCATCATTGTATTCCTATGATGATCTGCCTTGAAGAAAATTATAGGCAGTAAATAAAAGTTAAATGTATTTCATGAGCATCGATGGAGCACCACAACAAGCTGTCGTAGCGTTTCTTCGAATAGATGTTTTTCTTTCGAAAAGATCATGATATAGGCGGCGGACTTTCGCATTTTTCTTTCAATTTACAGCTGCTCGAAACATTCGTATAGATTTTATTGTTATATCGTTGAAATTTAGCTCTTATATAATCGTCGAAGTTGCACCTGGATCCTTTATTATCTAATATTTCATCAATGCACATTGAAGGCTTTGACATTTACTATCCTTCAGGCTTTCGTTGAAATCATGCTTCAATTAGGACCTCTGTTCGCGAATTTGGGGCATAATTCAGCACTGGTTAACTACGTGGGTTTGGGGATGTAAAGTCTGAATGGCTAAAGGAGCGCTTTAAATAGGCAATGTGATTTCCTCTTTTCTTCATTGGTTTTCATGCTTCACCTATTTCCTTAGTATACAAACCGTTTTTGCTTACTCATTATTTATACTTATGATACTCATTATTTATACTTATTCTGTCAGTCATCGCGTGTACAGTATGAGCGAGGAGGCGGATACTGTTCAGGAGCTTTCATAGATCCACTCCTATATGATAGCATAAGCAAGTGGTGCAATGATGCGATGATGAACCTGGTATTTGTTCTCTCTCTCTCTCTCTATTTCATCCATGCCAAGCATCACGAATGGCATTACCGAGGCTTCCACGAATGTCTATACTCACGTTTCTCACTCTACCGTGTCTACACCGTTCCGTCACTCCCCTTACCGGCTACCGTATGCTTACGTTCGGTTTCTGTGCGTCATATTGTGCCGTCTACACACACTTTTCCCATCCCCTCTTTGACCGCTATGTATTCTTTGGCCGATTGCCAGCATGCGAAAACAATCCTTCACATCAGCAAATTCACTTGGTCGCGTATTACACCGTATGTTGATGTGATTCGTAGAAGAACGAATGTATGTATATGTGGTGTGTGTGTGTGTGTGTGTGTGTGTGTGTGTGTGTGTGTGTGTGTGTGTGTGTGTGTGTGGCTAGATCAAAGAAGCCTACCATATGTAAATTCCCCCAGCCTTTCAGAACTGATGTCATTTTTGTGGATTTACTTCTCCAACCTGAAACATCTTTATCGGTTATCCTTCGCCCAATTAACTTCACAACCAATCTCGTTGATATCATTCCACTTGACCAATTTCTAATGCGTGGTTAAATATTGAAAACACTTTATCGAAAGTAGATGAAAATTAGGATACTAGTACACTGCGCATTTTCTTTCCAGATCTTAACTCTGAATACAAAAAAATCGAAGAGGATTTGATCACCAGTGGAGAAATGGTGGACGTCGAAAATACGCCACCTTTTGATGTGCTGATGAAATTGAATGGTAGTGCAGAAAAGAAAGAACTAGAAGGAAATGACTACGAAGAGAAATGTCTCGATGATGACGAACTTCGAATAGCGCTCGAGGTCGACGACGCCGATGAAATGCTGGATGTTGAATCGCCAGATCTTGACGAATTGGTAGGTTATTGCACATATAGCACCCGTTACCCTTTAGTGTTTGAGAGTGTTCATCAAAATGATTTCAGGACGGCAGTGATACCTCATCGTCCGCAGTCGGTGGATCGCCGCAACGAGCAACTGCAGTCAATATCGTCCCTATCATGTTGGCTTCAGATATACCACAAACATCATGTTCTGAGGTATGGCGTGTGCAGGATGTTCGATCACATTGCGATTGGTACATTAAGCGATGAAACATAATTATTTGGATACTTGTGCAGCTCTTCTTCACTGATTGTGCTGACTCCAGCATTACTACCATTGTTTGGGAGTTTTGCTGGACTAGCCATTGTAGTTCCTCGGAGTCCCGAGGTGAGTCCAGCCAAGGTCAGCTCTAGGTCGTCACCACCACATGCAGTCACCGTCGTTGTGGATCAGAGGGAGATTTGCCACCATGCGACTAATGTGATGCCGGGACGGCGGTGGATTTTGTTATTGGTCTACTCTTAGTTGGGTTTCCTGATGAAAACGCAGGACTCTTTCTTAACTTAGGAGATCCTGCTGAGTGGATGAATCCCCACTGTACATCGCAGCTCAACACTCAGGATACTTCCGAACCACGATGAGGTGGTAAACCATTGGGAGGATTAAATATGATTAGGCAAAGGAGTCCTCACTCACATGGTTGAATGCAAAATTACACAATACCATTGTGCTTGAAGAGCGTTTTATCATCTTCCATGCTCTTCTAACAATTTACTGCGAAATAATTTGCCACAATGCCGTAATAAAATGGATTCTCTTTGAATGTGACAATTGTTTTTTCTATTTATTATTGTGCGTGACTCGTTATCACATCTACTGTACAGATCCCGGCATTTGTTGCATTCGATTCGTTTCCCTCGTATTCATCGAACAGTCGTTCAAAAAGGTATTCGAACATTTCGTGTCTTGTCTCAGCTGCGGCTCGACGATTTCCACTTCTTTATGAACGTCGCAGAATGCTGGTCGAGTCGATTCTATTTCCAACCGTGCAGTTGGCCGAGCTAAAGCGTTCCCACAGTGTGAAAGTCATCTAGAGTGGTAGCCATTATTTGATCGGTGTGAACTAGTAGGGCTTTACATCTTATCTCCGAGACATTTTAAAGTTGAACGGGATTTCGTGATTTGCCACTACTCTGTTGTTAGCAACCGATCCTTTTGAGACTTAATAACCCCACGTGGGCGAACACTGTTTTGTTGACGGTATATGGCACTACTTCATTCCGTTAAAATTCAAATGTTCATTTCTGTCTGGTATTTGGTATTGCTGCGACTAATTGTTGACGTGTTTATTAAACTCAACAATGAATTGAGGATGAATACGTGGACAGAAATGAGCATAGCAATATTTTCGTAAGCAGACATTTACTTAACTTCGGCGTGAATAATTAATACCTTTGTTCAGCTTGTACGAGGTTGTTGTAAAAGCTTTATTCCACCTACATTTCGGCGTCTTCGTCTTCTTCAGGTGCACGACGTTCTCGGTCGATTGCCCACAGGTCTTCCATCTTCGAGCTATGGCTTTTCGTGGTCGCAAGGGATCCAATCTTTTGTAGTGAGCACTGGTGAAATAACCTTTGTTGGCAGTGTCGCTTTTTGTAGAGTGGTTGTTGATTGACTGATTATTCATGGATAATGATTTGTTTTTCTCTAGATTATTCATGCTCCGTCGATCGGAATTAGATTAACTAGGCACTGTACAGTGAGGTCATTTCATTCAATACACATCGCAACGGCAAACGGCTGTGGACAATCGAATGAGACCATCACAGCCCTGAAGGAGGCGAACGTGTCGTAACGTCGGTCGAAGAAAACATTTACAGCATGTTTGTGTAAGGTGAACAATCTAAAATGGGTGGAGTGAAGGAATGGAAATCCAGAAAAACGGGGTGTCGCCGGTGCTGATAGTTGCACGGTGCGGTTTCATTAGGTGTATGTGGAAACCATGAAGCGTTAGTCGAATCTTATGTGAATTGATGGAATTTGGGAGTAAAAATTAGGAAAGTATAAAAATCGGATGACTAACTTAGATGGTTACTAAGGATCTCTACTTGTCCTTGTCACCTCCCACTCCCACCGCACTCTTTATTGTTCATCGGTGATTCGTGAGCAGATGTCAGACGTTTACCAAGACACCTTCCTTTTTTGACAAAACTGGCATGACATAAGAACTCCACACGAGTACCACGCTTTTTTCATTTTATTACAATTCTTCTTTAAATGCTTACTTACTTGGATACTTGAACGGCCCGTCCTTACTGGTTGTCCGTGCTCCAGCATATTCTCCATTTATCGGAGTTTTTCTGGCTTAGTCATTATGGTTCTCCGGAGTCCCGAGGTTAGCCTGACCAAAGTCAACCTCAAGTCGTCACCACCACAGACAGTCGCCAACCTTGTGGATCAGAGGAAGAATTGCCACCATGCGACTAGTTTGATACCAGGACGATACTGGAGCTTGGTATTGGTTTGCTCTTAGCTGGAGTTCCTCATGGAAACGTCGGACTCCTTAGCTCGGGAGACCTTGCTAAGGAGATGAATCCCCCACCTCTGTACATCGCAGACCGATGCCAGGAATACCTCGCAGCCACGATGAGGCGGTAAACCGTTGGGAGGATTCTTTACATATTTATTTATGTGCTCTTATGAACTGATGTTGTTGAGCTGATGTGAGGTTGGTATAGTTGTTGTTGTTGTTGTTGTTGTTGTTGTTGATGATGTTGGTCGATGGCTGACTTTCCGGCGATTTCGCCTTTCTCAGAGCAGTACTGCTACGAGTGGGACTATTCTTTAAATAATGTTCGATTGGAATCACAATACCCATATGCATTCCGTGGGTTGCATTCTCATTGCTAATGGATGAGTGTAAACGCTTTATGTCGATATTCTTTGCAAAAAAATCGGAAAGTGATAAGGCGATGGCTTTAAAGTCATTGGACAAAGAGTTATAGAAAATATAACAGTAAAATATACAATCATTTCTTCTTAGGTTCTTTGCAAGTTGTCCAGTTGTTCAAAGGGTGGATCCAACACCTGTAGTTGTTTTACACTGATTAAATCGTAGATGAGGTTTTGGTGAACCCATATTGACCCTAAAGTCACAGAGATGCCTTTCACTGCAGAACGTCACTGGCACTGTAGCGGTTGTTCTCCGACGTGTTTCTGATTGCTGACGAGGCGATATTTAAAAAAGTGTCTGATGACCTTATTGGTCCAATAGGAACAGTAGCATGTAAAATTTTTACTTGAAAAATATGGTTACTATTTTTAAAAGGAATAAAAGGTTTAGTCTGTAAAAGCTACTAATTGAAGATGGTTAAGGTAATGATTTTCGGAAGTGCGCTAGAAACGCCGAACTCTGGCAGTCATATCGAAAAGAGGCACATATGTGATATTTGTGGAAAGGTTAGCCTTCTCTTCAATTTTGATTCTATTAATTCAACATCATTGGCAATACTTCGCTAGATGGCAACGTTTTGGAGAATTTTGATCCTCCAAGGCCAATGAGCCTATGTCACTGCAATATCTATAGCTGACAGCCTGTGCTTAAAGAATTAGAAGCAGCCTAAACTTCATTGATGACAGATAAAAAGTGATAAATAATGTATGCATTAATCAAGCGAAATGCATATCGGAATGAAACGATAAGGAATGAAGATTAGCTGTAACTTTATAATTGAACTTTACATTGCAGGGTTTTCCGTACCACTCAATTCTTGAGTCACACAAACGCTGCCATACCGGTGAGAAGCCGTTCAATTGTCATTTTTGCGAAAAGAAATTCGCTCAGAAAGCCACTCTACAAGTACACGAACGAACGCATACAGGAGAGCGCCCGTAAGTCGGCATGAGATTTCGTAATCTAGCGGCGTAGAGATTTGATGAGGTCAGAAACCGAATTACGGTACTCCGGCTGGTTCCACTGTAGTGTGAAATTGACATTGGAGAAGTGAATCCTCTTCGAGATGTAAGACCCTTATGAATCGACTGCTCATTGAGCACTACCTTTATAATATATGACTGTCATAGTAATCCGATGTCTTGAACGCTCATCATTAAGGGTGTATTCATTCTAACTACGAGGAAAAACCTTTCAGTAGATTTCGTTTGTTTGAGTAACACAAAGAGTACCACACTTATTATGAGAATGCTTTCATTTCTATTATTCTTGAAGGGCTAGCTTACTAGATTTTGTTGTGAGGACTGGGCAGTGGAATTTTGCTCATCGGATTCTCCTGGAGAGGACATGGTGCTTTCAACTCTACGAGGCGACTTTCAATCGTCTCACTGGCACTTGATTGACTTTTGACCGAATTGGATTGCGGGATAGATTTTTGTATTGCGCGCACAGAAGATCATCTTTTAGATCGTCATTTGCGATTATTGTCGCTATATAATGTAAGAGAAGTGATGTGGTTGATGTTTGCTGGCAGGGTTGTCCTAAGCAAGTGCAATGACTTTATCGCCGCTCATATTGTCCTTCGTAAAAGAGTTTTTGATAGAATCTCTCGACTGGCTTGTATATGCTTTAATTCATAACAGAAGCAGTGGACACAGTCGAAATGTTAAAATCATAAACGAATCACACAGCTGAAATTTAACCCAACATAACTGTAAGATGATCCCTCATTTGTAGGCGTAACTATAAAACCGTAAAAGCAAGGCGTTCCGCGTTCATCAATTCCTTAGTAATGCGCCATGCGTTTGACTCCTTTCATAGCATCGTAGAGGTGATTGAATGCATATTTGCCCTACTAAGGGAGGCTGCCAATGTATCAACTCAGCATGATCATCTTCCTAGACAAGCCGGTTACTAATTTGCCAAGCTTGGTGTGCTAGGAACGCAGGATCGAATGTGTGTATTCATTGCTGAGCTATTCTAACCACTACGCTGCACATTGCACACATTTGGAGCCACAGTTGATGAAAATTGAACTTTATGAGCAGAACAACCAACGCTTAGAAGAATAGCTAGTCAGAGAGCAGCGAATTCGCTGAGAGAGTAACGAAAGACTTCGATTTCAGGTATAAGTGTCGTTATTGTGAGAAGACGTTCGCGCAGTATGGTACGAAAACAGTACACGAGAAGAGTGCCCATCTAGGTGAGTGGCCCAAGGCGCTGAGTTTCCGCCAGTTTATTTCGTTCGACGAGAGCTCTTCCGTATCGAAATAAAATGCTCTAATGACACTGCGGCGCTCCACTGCACGGCTGGAAGATGGTTACCGTCGGTCAACATTGTAGTCTTACACAACGTCAGCTTATTTCCTTAAGAACAGGTCTTAAATGATCGAAATTCTTGCTATTATATCGCTCTGTCTCGTACTCACATAAACTAGTGCCGTTTAGGAATTCGTAACTACAAATGCCCGAAGTGCGATAAATGCCTGTCATCGCCGAGCGCCTTGTATACGCATAAGAAGACTCACGGCGAGAAGACGTTTCAGGTCAGTCGCGATGACGTTCGCATTAGGTCCTACGACGGCAAACAAAACTACTGAAGCCTTACGATAAAATGAAAATTTGCGGGCAATTATTTAACAAGAAATAAACGAAAAAAGTTGCGTAGAAAGCTCATGAAAACTTTAAAAGATAAAAAAGTAAAAATATGGATTTGATTGTGAAAATTTTCACTTATACAGAGTTCGATCTGTCCATGAGGAGTAGATCTATATATCTGTGAAGACTGCAAAGGGTTTAATTTATCCATAAAGTGCTATAAAAATTTGCCCGCGATACTGATTTTTTCCTTCTAACTAAAGTTTAGTTCATTGCTAACACTGAAGACTTTAATACTCTGGCGATCTTGTTTCTCAATAAGAATTCACTACTTAATGCCAGAGATCAGTTTCTATATTGAAAAAGCGTTTGAATGCTCTAAGTTAACGCATTTCGTGTGCATCTCCTTCACTCGAAACTTATGTTGTAACGATAAAAAGAGGAAGAACGAAAAACGAGAATCTCGTTTTTTTCCCTGGGGTTTTATGTGTGCCAGAGCACTCTTTGAGGTTCATTTTGACCGTCAACGTCGTTGAAGTTGTCCTGATTTCAGTGCGAATTCTGCCCGAAAACGTTCACGCTAAAAAACTATCTGAAGCTTCATGTCAAACAAGTTCATGAGCAGAACGAAAGGAAGCACGTGTGTCGATTCTGCGGAAAAAGTTTTGCTTACGCCGGAAGTTTGCAGGTATGCACGTTCAACTAGGGGACGTATTTTTCTCCGTGTTCCATTGTATAGTATGCTTTATAAATTTTTTTCATGCATTCCTATAATTTATTTCATGGATCCATAAGTAATTGGAAGAATATTATCACAAGGTTGGTAAGATATTAGCGAAACTCTGACGCTGACGTGAGCTTCGATTCCGCGATTACTCTCTCCGGTAGCTCACGTGTTATCTACTGATCGAACGGAAACTTTTGCTTTGGTTTTCCTTCAGCCAGTTTCTTTTAACTCTAACGTAACCATAAGCAATCACGCGTCATCAGGAATGATCTGGGGAGCACAAATTGGCATTGAACCCAGTCAAGCTGAAGGTGCTGTAGAAATTACACCGTTCTAACTTTTATTTATTGCCATTCTTTTTTCATGACAGGGTGTTATGTGAAATACAATCACAATTGTCCTAAGATAAGAGAAAAACTCGAAACCTCAGATGAGCTTCGAACGCGTGACGATTGCCTTTTCCGGTGATTAAAAAATGTTATTTCCTTCACCCCTGCTTTCCTCACACGCGAATAAGATTGGCGTGTCGAAGGACATACAGTCCTCATTGTTTCCGTTTTTAATGTTTGTTTCTGTCTTCATTTGACGTCCTGGCAGGTGCACGTGCGAACACACACCGGTGAACGACCGTATCAATGCAGTTACTGCCCGAAGGCGTTCGCCAGTCAGGGCAATCTGCAATCACACGAGAGGACGCACACCGGCGAACGGCCATACTCGTGCAGTGCTTGTGGACGCAGCTTCATTCAGGTAACCACCATTGGCATATATCCATTCTCTCTAATATCGAATCAGTATAACTCGCTGACCCATTTCCGCTGATGTTTGTGCACCGGAAACATTTTTATCTGCCTATTTTTATTCATATCGTCCCTCTTCACCCATTTCACTGGTCTCAGTATTTTTTTTACGCATTTTGCTTATCTTCTCGACTCTGGTGCAACCATGTTTTCATTTTGGAGAGCTGGAGAACCTTGTAGTGTCATACATCACACGCGTGGTTGCTGTTTTGACCCAGCACTTGGGCCCCCATCTCGTAGGCACCGAGAAATTGTCCACGAGAAGCTGCCTAGATCCACAGAGGGCAGAAATTGCTTGTGGTGAAGACGTGCTAGGATCACCAAAGCATTCCAATGAGGATGATCTCTATCAGTATTCAACAATATTTATGAAGAAGACAAAGTGGTCGTGTGGCAGCCTAGTAGAGGCGCAACGAGAAGACCTCTGTGGGTGAGGTATGCGAAGCAACGCAGAGAGTGTAAGAAGTGCTGTGATCTACACAATATTTGAAACTGAACCATATAAACCATTCTTTTTACACTGGCCATCCTGGCATATACTTTGCGGATCCTAGCACTGCATTTGATTTGTTTCCTCGCATCTCTCATCCGCTAAGGTCTTAGAGCTCTTCGCTTGTGAGTTCTGTTGCTGCTTGAGGGCTGTCGTCTTCTTTATGAATGTCGTTGGGTGCTGGTCGTGTCGATTCTCGTTGGAGTTCTGGGATAGCCGGGCTAGAACGTTCTCGCCTGGATCGCAGAGAATGGACTATTTGCAAGCAAGTCTGGTACCAACTTCCCGACCCTGAAGAGATGAGAGGCTTGGTGAGTCTTTAACGGGGTGGGATCTGCATTGTGTTTATGATAGGCTGCATCACGGCCACTGCACCACCGGCTTCACATAATACAGAATAAGTCAGATATATAAACAAGTAAACAACTGGGACACATTTTATGTGAAAATGGGTTCAAGATATCTGTAACGACAAAACAATTTGAATGGTGGTGTAAATATATCATAAGTATATGGTATACTATTGCATGTCGCAAGAAATGCACTGAACTTCGAAATTTTCGTCCTTTCAACTGAACCGATAGCCAGTTTGCCAACTGTAAAAGCTAGTAGAAAAGATAAACATTCATCATAATCATGAACAAACTTGTATATTCAACAATTTCTTATATTTGACTGCGTTCCAGAAATCGCAATTGATTGCCCACGAGGCGACTCACGCATCGTCCATGGCCATCACGTTGCCGAAAGAAGACGTACAGGTTGTAGATGATGTCGCTCTAGACAAGAAGACCAACGCCGTCGCAGTCACCGGCCACTACCACTGCAAATTCTGTGGCAAAAGATATGCCTACGCTAGTAGCTTGTACGTGCATACAAGACTACATATGGAAGAACGACCGTTTAGGTAGACATAGGCAATCCCTAAGCCAGGCTTAAGAGACACCGGTTTCTTGAAATTGGGTGCATAGCATTCGACTTTTATTCATTAAAAACTCGACATTCGATTCCTCGGGAGAGTGCACCCAGAACTCATTTGAGTAACAGAGTCTGAAGGCTTAAGTATAGCCGAGTTACATGATGGACATATTAAGGGTTCATTAAGGGTTAATTAATTCGAACCGTTTTTCATGCTACAACTAAATTTGTTGTGTTGCGTAAAATTCAAAGAAACGGTTGTATGGAAAATTTTATCCTTCAGCATGGGCTTCTCCGAACTACGAAATTGATTAGACTATTATCATTAGTGGTTTCTTCTATTAATCATCTGTTTATCGTTAAGCTACGTAAAATTTCTTTCCATTTTTCGAAAAAGGAATAAGAAAGAGACGTTATCTAGGATTTGTAGTGTGATTTGTGTTTTGTAGGTGTCAGTTCTGCGATAAGTCGTTCACTAACCAAGGAAACATGCAAGTTCATAAACGAGTGCACACCGGCGAAAGACCGTAGGTGGAGAGGTTGAGAGCAGGAAAAAGACAGCCATTGAGAGAGAAGAAGAACAAGGAGAAAAAGAATCTTAGTTCTATGAAAGAGCGAGGGAGAGGGAAAGAGAGTGTAAATGAACTCATTATGAATACCGCTTGTTTACAGATATACGTGCAACACTTGCGGAAAGAGTTACGCGCAGAAGGTCGGATTGAATATCCACTTAGAGCAGTGCGAAGCGCATTTGGCTAATCGACAATCGGAAAGTTGCGTGAAAGTCGATACCGATCTCGACTCTTCGGATAGCAATCGAAAAGCTGACTTCTCTTTGCCGAATATATATGCCAGTAAGTTGTTAAAGTTGACTGATCTCTGGCGGAAATATTGAGGATTTTCGCTGTTGTGCATGAAATAGGTTAATTATAAAAAGAAAGGCTAGAAAGAGACTTCTTCTAGACGTAATTTACTACCTGGTACTAGTTTTTTTTCTAAAATGAAACTTTTCTTTTAGAAAACTCTTCTCCAGTGAGCATCACTCAAGTCAATTCTTTGTCGAGATTCCCTCAGTGGAACATGCCGGACATTCTCCGCAGAGAATCCGTCTCTTCTTACGAATTCCAACCAACCACAACCACTACTACCATTAATACATCACCGGTTACTGGGCCATTCCGTGCTCCTGAGGTAGGTAGTTATTATTGTAGCATTATGTATTCATTGTAGAATATGTAAGACAGAGCATGAGCAGAGAAGGGTGTTGTGAAACGTGTTACACCACATAAGCTCACACAAAATAAATGCAAGCCGCTTTCTTTTGTTGTGGAAAGGCGGCGGTAGCGAGACTAATGTACTTTAAGAGAATACTTTTCCAGCCCGCTCCGCCAGACTTTGGACCGCTGACGGCATCAAAGCCACCTATGCATCATGACGTGACCATGTCGGAGACGTCGGCGTTCTACACGCCTGCCTGCACTAAGTCCGTCGAACCGGTGCTTAGTGGTATGACTGCGTTGAAAGGTATGTTCTATATCCCGAACACCCTTATTTTTCCTCTGAAAATGAAAATCAGTAGAGTGCTAAGACGGCTGTGGTGTGCAGATAACATCAACTCTTGGAACACTCATATTAAAAACAGAAGAATAATGTTCTATCCTAAGTTCCCAGTAGGTAGTCGGATTTCTATTGAGTTCCTTTAACGAAGTAGTTAACGATAAGAATCGTTTTAATGCTGTTTTAAAAAGAGATAATGCAGAAATTATGTTTATTATATGCAAACTTCATGATATCTTTGGCATATTCACTGAAATTAATTTAACCTTGGTTGTTAAAGTCTATTATTTTTGACACGCAGGAGAAGAGGAACAATAGAAACGAAGGACCCGCATGGTGTGGTGGTGAACACGTTAGCTCCCGGAAACGATAATAACGCGCTCGTTCCCCACCACAGACAACTGCGGTCCGGAGTTGTGCAAATGCCTCAGCATCATAGTGGTTGTATCTATTATGTTTGTTCTCATAACAAGGGACAAAACGAAAATTTTGATAACGAGGCGAAGGTACATAGCGCTATAAAGCTTAGAGGTTAATTATTCCTGAGGTTCAATGCGTACCTTAGCTTATTACATTTATTTACAGAACTAGTCGAAAATGGTCTCAGTCCTCAACTACTGCCTCTGCCGAATATTCTCTCGCAGCAGTTGCTGAACACTCAGTTGCTCATCCAACAGCTGCAGAATAACGATGCACTGCTGTCGCTTCTCAATCACAGTGTCTCAACCATGCAACCACCAGTGCCGTCGACGGCGCCATTGGTGCAAACCACACCGTTGCCACATTCTTTTTTCGAGACTCTATTTCCGACCTGCCTCATGCAATCCAGTATGCCCATATCCAATCAGCCAACCCTTTCTTATAACGTGGAAGTGAAATCTGAATCGATGTTGGTGTAGCAGACCGTCACATTTTTGCCAGACTTTAAAGGTACATACACACATACCGGTCCGTCAACCAACTTACCCCAACACAACGAAGGCATATCTGAAATTTTGTGCTGTGGTATGCGTTCTATTTATTCTATTCCCAAGCTTGCGTTTCTCAAGCTCCTTTCCTGTGTCACTTGACCTTTCTGCATTAGCAATTTAATTCCATGATGTGTTATCATGCATCACTTTTTAAACGGTGTCCGCTTTTGTCTTTCATTCGCCGTCATTTTCCCCCACCGCCTACGTCTTACCTCGAAATCGGTGACAGGAGGAGGTGATGATGCTACCGTCAGCCTGAAAGCCATTACCGTCTACGATCCAGTTTTTCCTACTGCTGAAATCATTGCCGTGACTTTCCTTTTCTCTTCCGTTGTTGAGTTCTAATGGAAAATTGTGGACGTCGTGTAACGAGTCACGTTCACTTCGCGAATAATTGTCCTCTCGAATGAGGTCATGTCCGAAAAGAGTTCGATGGTTGACAGATGCCCTTCTTTGGTTCTCAGTTCTTTCTTGTTTTTCCGCCATTCATGTGCTTTCTACCCATCATACTTCGTCTATTATTTCTATTCATTCTCTCCAATATGTCTGCAGTATACGGTAGGTCAATGTTGAAGTATTTGCACGTTTTGTTTTGCCTCCTTTTTAATGCTTAGTGTTCTTTTTTCTTCATTCATAATATAAGCGAAATCCTCCTGTTTCTGATCTCATTCTCTGTGAACGATATTTAGCCTATTCTTTCTTGCCGAGTGATATTTTGTTTATAGAAAAATCTGGTCATTGAGGGAACCCTATTGTTAAGGTCCGGTTCACTCTTTCGTTGTCGATAGTCAACCAACAGAATTATTTATAACGCTGCTATAATGTACATAATAAAGTATTTGCTGAAATTCTCTTGTTTTAGAGCATTAGACCGCACATTGTGTAACCTATGTCGTGCGTATGATAGGAAACGCAAGAGTGCGAGTTTCGAAGATTATGGTTGAGATAACTACGTTTCTCAGCAAAAATTACCTCTGATTTCTTCTTAGTACAGCCAGTTTTATTGTGTTTTCACATAATCTCGACAAATTTATTTAATTCTTAGTCGATGTGGATACCAGTGATCTTTCCATTCTCTATTCCTCTGGCTTTTAGGTGCTCAAGTTCCTCTGTGGGATAACCCATTGAGCCTTCTGATGCACGAATAAACAGAATTGCAGAATAAAAATGTGCATGGAATGGAACCTTTTAGCCTTTTGAATCCTTATCTATCGATTTTTATGGAAAAATTGACGAAAGTTTTGCATATAGAAGTAGTTCCTCCCAACGATTTACCGCCTCATCGTGACTGGGAGGTATTCCTGGGTGTCGGACTGCAATGTACAGCGGTGGGTTTCGTTCTCCGGCAGGGTCTCCCAAGCTGAGAAGGAGTCCGGCGTTTCCATCATGAAGCCTAGCTAAGAGTAAACCAATACCAGGATCCAGCACCCGTCCTGGTATCAAAGTCGCATAGTGGTAAATCTCTCTCTGATCCACAAAGGCTGCGACTGCCTGTCGTGGTGAAGACCTGGGGCAGACTTTGGCCAGGCTGACCTCGGGATTTCTGAGAAGCACAATGGCTTATCCAGCAGTTCTCCGAAAAGTGTGATTATGCTGGGGCCCGCACAACCAGTGAGGACGGGCCGTTTAAGAATCAAGAAAGAAGTATACACATAGTATTCGCCAGAGTAAGGCTAAAACGTAAACAGTCTGGTAATAGACATGTTTCTTCTTCTGAATAGTGGTTATTTTACGAGGAAAAGAGTAAAGGATGGATTGCTTGACATTAATGAGTCCCTGTTGGATGCTCCGTGCATCCGACTTCATCAAGCAGGGTGGAGCTGACTGAATGGATATCTGGCCAATACCGTCGCTTAAGCTGGCCTACCAAGGTATCGAAAGTCATTGCCCTTAATGGTCCATTTTTGAGCGTTAGCACGTGTTTGTCTCATGTTCATGTTTCATTTCAACGCAAAGGCAACCACTCATCTTGTCGATAGTGGGACTGTAGAATTCTTGTCTACCCTTAGAGTTCACGCTGCTGTTTGCTTCGTTTACTTGTCGACGGCTCTTCTCATTATGTATTCAGTTCACCTATCCTTCGTGTTCGATCTGTATTCTACTGAAACTCGAAGAAGAAATGTTTTTAGAAAGGCTAGATAACGCAGCCCAGCATTGTGTTGTGAGTGCTAGTCGTGTTTATGAGGCCCCAATCTAAGTGGTGCATAAAATTCTCGATGCGATTGAGATGTCTTCTGAGTTTCTGGAAATGTTTATGGTTTCAGCTTCCAGCTTGGGCGAGGTCCATTGTGATTTTGCCTAGTGCTGTTTGATTTGCACCTGCATGCCTGCTCTTGTTTGGAACTCAGAATTCAGAGGAAGGGCTCGAAATCCTTTTTCAGCGGAATTTCTGAAGTATACGACGAGGTTTAAACTGAAGTAGAACGTTTTTCGTCACTTTTTTTGAAAGAAAAGAAGGAAGCAGAAATTTCAGTTCCACTTCATGCGATCAGTTTTGATGGCTTTTTCTTAAACTGTTTCCTTTCTTTTGCTTGGTCGTCTATGCAAGCTTTCCATTTTCTTCAGCTATTGCTTCGATCAGTTTTTGTTCTCACCACTGTAAATCCTTCAGAGATCTCCTACAGCTGTTATTTATATATGTTACGAACTGTGTGAGTATTCTGCAAATCGATCGAGCTGTATTTTTCCTCATTTCTACAACACCTGCATTGGTGTAGAGACGATGCGATATTTTTGATTGAAAAACTGAAACTTAGTCGAGACAGTTTTAGTCCCTTGACAACAATGTCGATATGTTCCGTTACACGAGGTTGACGGAGATGTTTATTTGGCTAGCGTTTCGACGTCCTCGTCTTCACCAGAGCCGACGATCCTTATCGGTGGTCCACAGAGTTCGCCTTCTCGATGACAAATTCATATGATTTTGGGTTCTCTAGTAAATCCTTATTGGAAACGGGTTCTGGGTCAATATGACAATATGCCGAGGATGTCGTTTTGAATAGGCAGAGCTTCGATGAGAATCGGAGCATCAAATCTTGTTGGAACTTTGATTAAAGATTTTCTTGCAAATTTTCATCGCTTCTCGGCTAATTTCCTATTGTAGTGAAAATGCTCATTAATTTTTGGTATATCTGATCAAGTGTATTCTAGCTCTGATAAATTACCATTGGGTAGTAAAGTAAGTGGAATTTGACCGCATGAACCAATTTTTGAGCCAAAGAAATGGCAGTAAGATTTTTCTGTGTTCGTAATTCTCAGATGTGTTTGTCCTTATCGCTATGGACAAAGATTGACATCACCATGATAAAATCTCTAAAACACTTTTGAATGTGTAGATCCCTGGCTTTCTGTCAGTCTGATTACATATTGTGTTGGCGACTTTGCAACTCACAGACTGACTTTGGTCGCGCGCAGATAGTCGAAATCACTTGTGCACAAGCACTTCGGTTCAGACTGTGGCGAATACTATGACAATGTTCCATTTCCTATTAGCATTTGAATAAAGTTGCAGGATTTAATCCGCATATAGGCGATATACGTATTGATTCCAATGCATATCTGAGACAGCGTAAGAAAAACGTGAAAATCCAGGCATAATGCACACCGCTAATAGCGTATGGGCAACCGTGTGCATTGATATCAATACATACCTGAACCAGAGTGGACTGCTTGCGTTGATTTAAATGCATAATTTCTCCGGCCGCGATGAATTATGCACTCATGAGATAACCTATCGAACGGAGATGTTATGCTTCTGGCCTATGAAGCTGCTCTGTACAATTAATAATTTACAAAAAAGCTTTTTTATGACAACTTTTTCAGTAGACACTGCGCGTGACAAAAATTTAGGCCTAGTCCTAAGTGGTCGCCGCGAAAAAGTAGGTGTAGTCGCATGTGCTCTAATAGAAAGAAAAATTTATATGTGTCATAGTTTCTAAAAAGATGATTGGCACGACATGAAGAATTGGATTAGAAGTGATGGAAAAGGCTACATGTAATCCTTTTTGTGGTGGATGTCACACAGAAAGAATGCTAAGAAGAAACGCTTGTTGGTGGTGAAATGAATGGTAGACGAGCAGAATCCACATTAGAATTGGGTGAAGTGTGAGCGTCTCAATTACTGTTCATAGACCAGTGAAGATGACGACGATGAACAGCGAAGCATGCAATGAAGAAAATGTGGCTAATCTTGGATACTTGGATGGCCGGTCTTCACTGGTTGCGCGGACTCCAGCATAATTTCCAATTTTTTGGAGTTTTGTTGATATGGCTCGCTGGAGTCCCGAGGCCAGCCTAGCCAGAGTCTGCTCTAGATCGCCACCACCACAAGCAATCGTCGCCATTGTGAATCAGAGTTAGATTTGCCACCATGCGAGTAGTACCAGGACGGTGGTGGATCCTGGTATTGGTTTACTCTTAGCTAGACTTCCTGATGGAAACGCCGAACTCTTTCTCATCTTGGAAGACTCTACCCGGAATAAATTCACCCGCTGTAAATCCCAGCCCGACACCCAGGAACACCAAGACGAGGCGGTAAACCGTTGGGAGGAAGTGGCTGATCATGCAATACAAAATCTAGCATGTTGCTCCAGAATATAATAGTCTTGAATGATAATTTGAAAAAAGGCTTGGGTTCAATAGATTATTAGATTAGAGATAGAATCATGGCCATGATCAGGCAATGAGCTTATTTCCTGTTTGGAGACTCTGTTATGTTAACTAAGCGGATAGCCTCTTCATGACTCCGAACACAACTTCTAGGATGGATGATGGCATGCAAATATAAAATGTTCATGCCTGATTGAGACCTGTGAAACTTGATAATCCAATTTTCCTCGAAAACGAAGACCAACCGTATTGGTGGGCAATAGGTGAAGAACGGTCCTATATAAAAGAACACCATTAAGTGAGGTTAAATCATTCGATCGGTGCTGCACGCCAAAGGATTTTACTCAATGCGGTTACGAGGATTCGCATCTCATGGAACTGCTTTCTAGGCAATATCTTGATTCATTGTAGGTTTGAAGATAGCGATGGTGTCGAAACGCTAGCTGCCATAAAAGATTGTAAAGATTTTATTCAAGATTGTTTATAAACCAGAGAAATCTTTTCGAAGAATGGTACATATGACCTTGAGTGATTTCGCACCGGAAGATTGGTCGAATTTTAGCTTCGGAGTGTGTCGGAGAGAACGCGACGACGTATCTGAGATCGGATGGCATTCGACTGATGGAGTTCCCCACTCACAGCATTTCTAACGTCACACTCAACGCTTGTGCAAAAGCGTGCACCGATGACGCTAACGTAAGCACTGTATACTAATATGTAGAGGCTCATGTAAGGCTACGGTAGTTGATGGAGTTAATCCAGCTTGATGTCAAGTTGAATGGTTCCCAGAATGATTTCTTTTCAATAGACCGCCATAGAAAAGTGGAAAAATGACCGGCTCTTCACAGCATAGATGAAGAACTTATAATTATGCTCTGCAATGGAAGTGTTTCTAGTCTTGAGTTTGATTTCAGGACCATATGTGTTCATCTTTCGAGTACGATGCTCGTTCACGAGAATGCTCGGTCCACGCCGATGACGGGCAGCCGTTCGGACAGTCCGTGCTCGCCAAAACGAACAAATCCGTTGCCTACTTCCAAAAAATGTGTGTCATAGGTAGGCGCACTCATTTCCCTCACCACGGCTCGTCTAATTTGTCGCCTTCATGCTAATTTGCTTCACTGGTCTGTAATGACAACGGTTTCCGTCTTTGAACCTTACAACTTCCATAAAATCAGCCCTTAAATTAAGTATCGTTAAACTTACCGAAATAAATTAGTTGTCATAGTGTTCAACCTAATCCGTTCTCTATCTGATTATTATATAATTTACTAAAATCGACACACATTATGTTTTTGCTAATCCCCAGAAAAGGTAATGGCATGCTCGACCACCCCTAGGACACCTGCGGTCTGAAGTTTTACAAATATCTCAGCACTGTTATACCATTTTATTTTCTGCCTATTATAATTTCGCGGCAGGGTACTAAGCGAAATACAACCACAACGTTGCTCTCTTTACGTTTATTCTTTAGTACGTTGTCACTTATTTTAGTCGTACCACTTCCGTGGTACTCAGAATCACTTTAATGCTCCACTAGGTTAAGAAATCTTGAGCTGTGCATCAAATTGGTGACTGAATTGTCGTGTACCATAAGACCGAGCACGTTGGTCACGCATTAGTGTAGTAAACCAGGAAGGAAATTGTATACCATCATTTCTTACTTACTAAAGTACTTAAAAACTTTGCTCTGACATTTGGTGCACGTTCTAACACTTCTTCCATTCATTTCGTTTTTTGCAACCGTACTACACACAGGTGGTCAGGTTGGGTACGGGATTCGGTCGCTTGAGGATTTGTCGCCTTCTCATTGGTGTGTTGAATGCTATTTGACGACGATTTTTTCTGGAAATCCGAGATGGCTATAATAGGGTGATCATTACATTGGAAAATTATTTAGAGCACTTTAGGCACCGTGAGTCACGTATACCTCATAGCTTGGTGGAAAATAATTTAGCCTCTTTTTTATTTACTACCTATTCTTTTTTTTTATGGCAGGGAATCTTGCGAAATATAAGTTATATAGTGCTGAGACATTTGCAAAACTTCGGACCACAAGTGTCTGCGGTGAGGAGCGAACGCACTATTGTCCTTTCTGGGGAGTAACGCGTTCACCACCACACCATGCGGGTCCTTCGTTTNGATCAATAGAAATAGCTGAGAGACAGGCGAAACGAAGGACCCGCATGGTGTGGTGGTGAACGCTTTACTCCCCGGAAAGGACAATATCGCGTTCGTTTCCCACCATAGACACCTGCGGTCCAGAGTTTTGCAAATATCTCAGCAACGTAGTGGTTGTATCTCAGCACTATTGTGGTTATTCTCCCAATGGTTTATAGCCTCATTGTGGCTTGGCTGGGAGATGTTCCTGGGTGTCTCCGGCTGTGATGTACAGCGGATGGATTCATCTCCCTGCAGAGTCTCCCAACTTGAGAAGGAGGCCGGCGTTCTTATCAGGAAGGCCGGCTAAAAGTAAACCAATATCAGGATCCACTACGGTTTTTGTATCAAGGTCGCATGGAGGTAAATCTTCCTCTGCTCCACAAGGGCTGCGACTGCCTGTCGTGGTGACGACCTGGGGCTAAGTTCGGCCAGGTTTACCTTGGGACTCCAGAGAAACACGATGGCTAAACCAGCAGAATTCCGAAAAGTGGAGAATGTCCTGGGGCCCGCATAACCAGGGAAGGAAGGACTGCCGTCCGAGTATCCCAGTAAGCATTGTGGTTATAATTCACATCATATCTGCCATGAAAAAGAATAGACAGCAAATAGAAAGCGACTACTCATGCTTGCTATTTACTCGGCCATTTGTGAAAAGATATGCATCTTTAGTTTTAAAACATTTGCCTTTCGTGTTCCTTTCTTTCACTTATTTTCTAGTGTTCTTTATTTTTATTGCTATAGTGTGGCGGGGGGCAACATTAACGGCGGCTATTGGTGTTTGGAAGGAAAAAAAGCCTACCAGATAGTTATCCATGGAACTGTGGAATATAAAATTGATGAGAATATTAAGCCTTTTTTCTATCAAGGGCGCGTGTGGCGCAGTGGTTGGAAGCACCGCTGCGACACAAAAGTGGAATCGATCCCCGCGCCCATGGCCCTCCAAGCCTTCCATCTCCCCGAGGTCGGTAAATTGATACCGGACTTGTCTGGGAGGATAACAGCACTGGCTCGATACATCGGTAGGCCACCGCGAGTCATTGTAAAGGCCAGATATGCATTCAATCACCTCCAACGATACTTAATAAAGTCGAATGCATAGCGCATCCCTCAGGGATTGATCAACGCCGAGAGTTTTTTAGAGCTTTTCTATCACGGGAAATGTAGTCGTTGATCTTCTATTTTGCGTTTTGCAATAATACAAAGACCATAAGGGACCACTGCTGTTCTGCAGCTAAGCAGCCACTGTAGGACCACTTCTGTTCTCTGGATGTGCGGATGGAGCTACTGAAGCTCTTGATCGCTAATGTCCATAATTTCAATCTTTTGCGTCAAAACTTTTTATTCTTATAAAAGAAAAAATGGCTTTTACAAGTAATCCAATGACATACTTAATGCTAGACTTGGGACGATGAACGCAAATTATGATACAATCACGTGCGTTTCATAGCAATCAAATCTTAGGTGGGAGAGAACTTGAGAAGACTGCATTAATGACAGTGTGTTGGAATTGTTCAAAGGTCGATGGTAAGACGGTATCCATCTGACGAGGTCTTCACAATCCGTCGTACGCACTTTCGTTTCAGGTGAGGCGCTTTGTTCATCACCGTATGCATTCGAACGCTTTCCGCAGAGTATCCTGATCGGACATGCAATGAAGGTACGACTTAGTTATTCTGCAATCACCAGAATAAGGTGAAAGGGGCCGTAGGCCAGAAACCAAAGTGTGAATGAAAGCGATTCATTGAAGTGATTTATTTGGCGCCGACTTTGTACTTAGTAATGAATATCATTAACCATGGTACGTTACTCCAAAGCACATCACTCAGGTGCTAAACGTGACAGGACTGTCCGAGTGCCTATCACAATGTCTTGCAACAACGTCATCACTAAACACAGAGTGCCGCTCGGTGATGTACTTCTACGAGTACGGCGAATGCATCATCAATCGTGAACGACGTGTTGATCGACCCGATCTGTTCGTCGAAGATGTGCGGAACCAACTAGTTGATTACTTTGAAAACAACTGTCACGACGGTGAGAAGTTCAGATGTATGCTTGATCAGAGGTATGTAAGAAACCCAAATAAATTAAGAGAATAATCCAGAAGAATACGACTTCGGAACACAAATTTATGTCCCAGAATTTGCCTTGGAGTACAAGTGATAATTTGGTCAGGACTCAACTCCATATTTTCATTCTTTGCGATTACCAGTGAGTTACGAACTGTCCTGCTAGAAGGAAGGAAAAACGAAACAAAAAAGCATCATGTCGCAACTACTGAAAAACTGTATGGACACAAACGTTGAAAAACCAAAAAATAAATAAAGAAGTGAAAAATGAAAAGGAAAACATAAGAATGAAAAAGAAATTCAAAAGAAGAACAGTAGCTTGTTGGATTGTAAAGCTAACACGAGGTTGTTACCAATAGTTATTCGCTTAACGTTTTCACGTCTTCGTCTTTATCAGAGCTAATGATCGGAGAGTAATGATACACAGTCGTTCGTTGTCTCGAGGGATTATTATCACCAGATAGTCCTATCAGCAACAAAGATCTTGCATGAAAGTGCGCAGCTGGATGAGCTTGCCTCATTCCAGCGGTGTTGCTCTGAAGAAGATCCGACTCGGTACGACGACGAAGACGCCACATCGAGAAGATGAACGACTGTGGACCATCGACTCGGATCGTCAACTCTGATAAAGACAAGTGCGTCAAACATTAGCCGAATAAATCTCTTTATCAACCTCATATTAGCTCAGCGATCAAAGATGGTATTAATTATTACTATCAAGGTTAAATGACGGTCGGCTTGAAAATTAAAAGAACAAATTAATGCTTCTTTGAAGGTTGGTTGAACTGTGCAAAATCGCGCATTGAATAAATTACCTGCCTTCAAAAAGTATGAAGAGCCCGGTGTTATTCTCCTAGGAATGGGCGTATGCAATGGATTATGGGTCCTATCGATTCATCTGATCGATATTTCTATTCTCCCAGATCAGCATAGCGTTAATTTACCAAATCCGGAAAGATAGTAGGTTGATTGGTTTGGAGAGCAGGAAGGAAGCCACCAACTGTGTGTATTACAATGCATCTCAAACCACTGCGCTACAAGTGCCTCTTAATTTATATTCATATTATACTTCGACATCGTAGACTATAGAATACATTGCACTACTATGAGCCTTAAGTGCAATGCCTATCTGGAGAACTTCACTGGGTTCGCACTGATGAGTACTTCGTCAGCCATGAGAAGGACGTGGTTATCGAAAGTATGGCTCTTGAAGACTGCCGGGCCGTTTGTGAGGTTTGTGCTTTGCTGGCATAATCTATTTTAAATAATACAGGCGAATGTCATCGTTCTTTTCAGGCAAACTTCATCGGATCGGAGAAATTTCCATGTAAAGCGTTCGTCTACAGCGCTGCCAGACAGGAATGCCATTTAACGACCGAATCAGGGTAAACAAGGATTTTCTGAACCTTGAGATTACTGAGTGCTAATTCACTGCTTTAACATAATGAGATTACATGATACTACTCATGACGTATGGTCAGAATAGAAACATTTTATATTCTGAAGTTTTCTTCGACAGGAAGTTGCCTTCAAGCACATTATTTCGATGTCGTATTTGTTAAATCGTTTCGTTAAAGTGGACGCATCAAATTCTCATACTCTTAAACTTTTCATTGACGGTGAGTATTTCATGATGTAGTCAATGGGTGGGACGTTTCATAAACTAATGGTCTATGAGGCACATATGAAAAAGCTGAAAATTATGCTGATATACTTTGTACTGTTGTTGAGCAAAAACAATGTGTTACTCCAAACTTTATTGACGGAAAAACGGACGTTTCCACGGATTTCTCCTTCGTCAGAGCCTCGAACGGTCAAGTTGACTGCATTCTACGTCACACACCACCATATTCAAAAAGAGAAGTAACAAAGCGAAGATTTCAACCGCACTGAAAACAAAGCAACTTCTTAGCACACTCAGCGGTTTCTATAAGTCTTCCACTGAGTTTTTCACGTGGAGGCCAATTGCATGAGTCCACATGAAAGCGTAATGTGTCCCTCCCATTAAAATAACAGTCTTAAATACAGTATGTTATCACACATGATTATGAGGCATTCCTCTTTGCGGTTTATTTTCGGTTTTTTGGTATTCATCCAGAGTGCCTCGAGAGTCTCGTACGGCTGCGTTTTCGATTCCTGTGGGACGATCGCAACTTCTACTTCAAAATCTTCCCTGCTATGTCTCTATGTCTAATGCCCGCCTGGTGGAGTATTTAGTTCAACTCTAAGTTCACCGACTAGATGTTCTTTTATAGGAACTCAAAGTGGTCTGCCCGTATTGCCAATGTATTCGGCCTCGCACACCTTACAAGAGATCAGATAAAGCGTATCCAAACTCTTGCAATCAACCTCTCTGTCGTTAGAGCACATTGTACAACTCTTCATTGTTGTACATAGGCGGTCATACAAGCGGTTACGAACTATCTGGTGTCTTAGAGTGCTCCGCGGCTGTTACCGAATGTTTCATAAGCAGCTGTTCTTTAGCAACGTTTTATAGCTGGACTTATTTCCTTGGAAATAAATGACAGGATAAACAGGATTTCATTTTCGTTAGAATTATCGTTCAGGGGCGTGATTTTCCCTCTACGCATATGCCAACATGCTACAGTTTCGTAGCCATTGGAAATGGATGTTTGCGCGCCAATTTCGAGGGTTCTTACTTCCGCTCTCTACCTGTTCACACGCTGGTGGTTGTTCGAAACGGGTTTCTTACAAGTGGCCTTTTCATGTGAACGAGGTGAGAAGAGAGGTAGTGAACGAGCATGTTTTTATTTGGTAGTATCTTAATTGGCACTTGGCTAACGATACAACTTCGTAATGTAGGCGTGTTCGGATAGGTTGATTCGAACGTTCAGAAATGGAAACCAGTTTTCCTTTTCTGAACTCAAGTAAACTTAATGTACACTGAGTGTTCATTCAATAAATAAATACATTCGTCTATTTCTCTTTGTGTTGAGCAAATGACAAAGCAGTCATCTATATATCTACAGTATAGTCATAGCCAGAGATCGGTTACCGGTGCTTCCACCTTAAATATAAATATAATGGCAAGGCTTGGTGCTAGTCGCTATCCCATGGCTAGCCCTCATTTGAGCGTAGTGCCTCCCGGACCACTTGAAGATTGAGCAGTTCAAGCATTCTTTTAAGAGTGCCATCAACTACTGCATCGCGAAGGTATACATGTTCATCACCCCTTCGTGTTGTTTAAGGAGTTCGAGGACGGCTTGCATAGCGTAGTCATTCAACACGTTTATACAATTTGCGGCAACGTCGTAAGACTCTATCACGTACGCGGCTGTCAGGACGCGCTTTGCGTAGACGGTCGACAAACATCTGTGTATTTCTAGGATGGGGTGGAATGTGTTTTAACAAATCGGTAAGTATAACGGTTAAAAACCACGTTATTTTATCCATTGGCCTGTCTACACGGCTAATGATAGGTCTAACCTTCAATAACAATGAATCGGTAGACACAAGATCATCGCTGGATACTAAATTATGAGTTTTGATAAGTACAAAACGGGACATGTTAATAAATAAATTTTCGATTAATGGATAACCGACAACTTCAAACCAGAAGTCCTTGCCGTTTTGATCCATTAGTGGTTCAATTTTTGGTATTGACTTTTGGACTCCTTCTTAGACGATGGGTGCGAAAGGGAAGCATTTTCAAGATGATTTTCGCTATCTCAGCATCCAAATAATGAGGAATTACTACAAAGTCTCCACCTTTATTGATACTAGGCAGTACAATTTTTTTAACCTTATCAGCTCTCGCACCTTCTGCATACCACACAGTGGGGTTGGAGCGGTATCTTTTTCGCGCGATAGTGATTAAAGGATTTCGAAATTTTTTTCAGGATTTTCTCAAAAAAAAAAAGAAACGAGAAAAAGGATTTCTCGTAAAAACGCGAAATCTGATATCAAGTTCATTGTTAGGACCTTATTTTCTAAACAACGGTTGAGGAATTGGTGATGGTGGTAATGCCTCTACGTCCTGCTGTTCGTTCAAAGTTCGTGCTTCAACTCTGGCTTTATTGCGGAGTCCGTCCTGGAATTAGTGCAAATTACATGCGATTCTACGCAACGTTGCCTTAAAAATGGGGACTGATGGTGAAAAACTTGGGCTCAATTCTAATGGCAATTCGCCCCGTCAAAGAGAGCCATGATTCCTAACACGGTATGCTTTGAATTTTCTGGCATATCATTTGTCCTACTGTCCTACTATAAATCGTTTGATCTTCGTTAGCGGTGTTTCTCTACTTTCGTTAAACCGTGCTATACGATTTACAAAAGGTCCTCGAACTTTCTCCGCAAAGTTACTTTAGCAAATGAGTTGAAATCAACATTGACCCACCCACTATTCTCCTCCAGAGCCCGCCCTCCAAATACTGAGCCGAATATTTGGCCTTCGTCGCGCAGTTCTTCCACATAGCAAGCATTTGTTCTTCTGTGCTTCGTAGACAAGTGCGCAATACTCGCATTTCGATGTCCGATGGCTATTCTCTTGTAGTCCGCATACATGGCGTAGTCGTCTTCCTTTGATGGAGTTTGGAACTACTTGATGTTGTAGGCAGCGGCGGAGAATGTGTATTGTCTATCAAGCTATGACGATCTTCTGTCTTTGTGACAACACTTCTTTTGCAAGTCGGAAGTATCTTGCTGGCACGCTTTGTAGCAATTCCCACGACCAACTTTCTATTTTCCTCAGCGTTGTTCTAATAATTTTCTACACTTCTGTTGACAAAACACGACATGCCACTTTCTTCTCCATTGACGATAACACTGTTTCGAGCGATTTCGCCTTTTTCAGGACCTGGAAAAAAACAGGATGACTACCCAGCTTATCTACCCAGTCAAACACCTCTATAACCAAACAAAGAAAGTGCTAAACCAAGATTTCAACAGCATTGGGAGCAAAACTTCTTAGCACACTCACCGCTTTCTCTAAGTCTTCCACTGAATATGTCACGTTGAGACCAACCGCACTGAGTCCGCATGGAAGCGTAGTGTGCCCTCCCGTCATAATAACAGTCTTAAATACTGTATGATATTACAAGTGTGATTACGTGCCATTCCTCTCTTCTGTTCATTTTCGGATTCTTTGAATTGAATACGTAAACATGGTTGAAAGTGTGGGAAAAGTATCAGGGCTTTTAAATGGTAAGCTCATTAAAAGTACGGGTTTGTACTCCAGTGTCCTTTTATATGATCTATTAAGCAGATATGTTTTTCCCATTGAGGTCTAAGTGGAATTATAAGCTTTTCTTTCTATCCTTTCATAAGGATATTAAAGAAATTGCTAACAATTAGATTTCGCAAGCCCGAAGTAGTTTTACTGGAGCGCATAGCACAGTGGTAGTGATGCCCATCACCACGAGCATAGTGCTAGTTCGATTCCGCTCTGCCAACCAAGCCCCTCATCCCTACGAGGTGGAAAAATTACTACCGGATTTATCTGGAAAAGAAATTACTCTCTGCCATCCAATTGGGAACGCTCCGGCCCGGCTACCTCAGGACTCCAGGAAGAATTGCTACCCTAACATTCTACGACATTCAAAATGAAATGAAAATGCTCAAGCAGCAACCGAAGTCATACGTAAAAAGCTGGAAGATCATCGTGGTCAATGGATGTGAGGAAATGAATCGAATGTGAGAAGCGCTGGGACCCGCAGAGTAGACGAGAAGACGGTTCAAATAAAAAAAAGTAACTCGCACGTCCGACTTTCTATTAACCTCGGCTTTCATTGAATAATTCTTTCTACTTCGGTTGAGCAAACACGAGGTGTTGTTTTATTTTTTTTTACGTACAAGCTGACGTTTCGGTGGATTTTGCCTTCCTCAGAGCCTGGAAAGGTCAAGTTAACTGCAATCTACACGGCCAAACACCTCCATAACTAAGAATCCGAAAATGAGCCGCAGGGAAGAATGCTTCATTATCACGTGCGATATTGGGCAGTATATAAGCCTGTTATTCTGATGAGATGGGTAAATTACGTTTCCATGTGAACTCTGTGCGGTTGGTCTCCACGTGACATATTTAGTGGAAGACTCATAGAAAGCGGTGAGTGTGCAAAGACTGTGTTCAATGTGATTGAAATTTTGGTTCAGCGTTTTCTCTGTTTGGTTATGGAGGTGTTTGGCCGTGTAGATTGCTGTCAACTTAACCTTCTCAAGCTCTGAGGAAGACGAAATCCGCCGAAACGTCAGCTTGTACGTAAGTAAAGAAATGAAATAACACTTCGTGTTTGCTAAACAGAAGTAGAAAAAAAGTACTTCTACTCCTATAGAGCAAAATTTAAGGCCTACTTTGAGCATTTACTTTAAAATCTTAAACTCGACATAGCAAAACCTTTACTAATAAGTGTAAAGGGAATTGGAATTTGTGCATTCTTGTAAACAAGGTGCAATCATATGCTCCGGTACCAGAGAATCCTGAAATTCTGGAATCGCCAAATTCTTGGAAAACAGCGATTTAGTTGTTGAACGTTTTCACATTTAAACATCGTCGAGTTGTGTAAAAAAGTGGCATTGACTACCAACAGAACCAGTGAGTACACAACATGAGATAGAGTTTTGTAGCTCAGTTCATTCGATTTCTGCACCTCTGGTTGTGGTTGGACATGGGGTCGAACGTTCTCGTGCAACCTAATTTATTTAGATCTACCGATCAGAGACGTTCCAATTGTCGGCGTACGTTGTCGACCTCCTAATACACAACTACTTTTACGGATTTCAGCTACACTGGACGCCATGGGAGCTCACTCAGTTTGAATCCAAATCCAAGTGAAGAGTATTTCGAGAAATACTGTTTAGAAGGTATTTTTTGAAAAATGTTACATGAATGTATATATTTCGCTTACTTTCTAATTAACAATCAAATACTTTGATAA